AAGCATTGCTTCTAGAAATACACTTGCATGTGTATGTTTACATGTGATAAGTAGGTGGGAATTACTCCATATTTTTACATATATATGTATGTATACACATGTATATGTACGTATGTGTGTATATATACATCTACATATATATGTATTTATACATCTACATATATATGTATTTATACATCTACATATATATGTATTTATACATCTACATATATATGTATTTATACATCTACATATATATGTATTTATACATCTACATATATATGTATTTATACATCTACATATATATGTATTTATACATCTACATATATATGTATTTATACATCTACATATATATGTATTTATACATCTACATATATATGTATTTATACATCTACATATATATGTATTTATACATCTACATATATATGTATTTATACATCTACATATATATGTATTTATACATCTACATATATATGTATTTATACATCTACATATATATGTATTTATACATCTACATATATATGTATTTATACATCTACATATATATGTATTTATACATCTACATATATATGTATTTATACATCTACATATATATGTATTTATACATCTACATATATATGTATTTATACATCTACATATATATGTATTTATACATCTACATATATATGTATTTATACATCTACATATATATGTATTTATACATCTACATATATATGTATTTATACATCTACATATATATGTATTTATACATCTACATATATATGTATTTATACATCTACATATATATGTATTTATACATCTACATATATATGTATTTATACATCTACATATATATGTATTTATACATCTACATATATATGTATTTATACATCTACATATATATGTATTTATACATCTACATATATATGTATTTATACATCTACATATATATGTATTTATACATCTACATATATATGTATTTATACATCTACATATATATGTATTTATACATCTACATATATATGTATTTATACATCTACATATATATGTATTTATACATCTACATATATATGTATTTATACATCTACATATATATGTATTTATACATCTACATATATATGTATTTATACATCTACATATATATGTATTTATACATCTACATATATATGTATTTATACATCTACATATATATGTATTTATACATCTACATATATATGTATTTATACATCTACATATATATGTATTTATACATCTACATATATATGTATTTATACATCTACATATATATGTATTTATACATCTACATATATATGTATTTATACATCTACATATATATGTATTTATACATCTACATATATATGTATTTATACATCTACATATATATGTATTTATACATCTACATATATATGTATTTATACATCTACATATATATGTATTTATACATCTACATATATATGTATTTATACATCTACATATATATGTATTTATACATCTACATATATATGTATTTATACATCTACATATATATGTATTTATACATCTACATATATATGTATTTATACATCTACATATATATGTATTTATACATCTACATATATATGTATTTATACATCTACATATATATGTATTTATACATCTACATATATATGTATTTATACATCTACATATATATGTATTTATACATCTACATATATATGTATTTATACATCTACATATATATGTATTTATACATCTACATATATATGTATTTATACATCTACATATATATGTATTTATACATCTACATATATATGTATTTATACATCTACATATATATGTATTTATACATCTACATATATATGTATTTATACATCTACATATATATGTATTTATACATCTACATATATATGTATTTATACATCTACATATATATGTATTTATACATCTACATATATATGTATTTATACATCTACATATATATGTATTTATACATCTACATATATATGTATTTATACATCTACATATATATGTATTTATACATCTACATATATATGTATTTATACATCTACATATATATGTATTTATACATCTACATATATATGTATTTATACATCTACATATATATGTATTTATACATCTACATATATATGTATTTATACATCTACATATATATGTATTTATACATCTACATATATATGTATTTATACATGCTATCGAAACTAGTAGACCTTTAAATAAAAATAGTCATTTTAAACATTAATGAGAAGTTACTATAAGCTTATCACTCTTTTTTTATCACTAATTCACAATTTCTTATTTAATCCCCTATTTTCAGGCAGACTTTCATCACCGTTAAAAAAGACGATTCTTAGCGAAGCAGGTGTATTTCCCCCTAATTCCTTCAACATTCACAAGGAAAAGATACACCCAATTCTAGTTATTTACTTGTACAAAGTAGAGGATGAATATAATCTTTTAGAGAAAGCATGGACTTGATGAATTTTTATTGCCTCATTCTTATCATTTTTAAGGTCACATAAATGGGCAGTGAAGTTTATCACCAAACAGTTCACATACAATTAGTAATTGTCCTGTCTTCACAAGAATATTCACGATGCAACCAATCCATACTTGAATATTTTAGAAGTGAAATAATATATTCAGTCACAAATCACCTACAAAATAGAAATAAATAAAATATATATATATATATATATATATATATATATATATATATATATATATATATATATATATATATATATATACACACACACACACACACACATACAATTAAGTGCTTTAACGTCAAATAATATTTTCTATTCTTACACCAACAATCTTAAAACCATTCACAGCAAAGAACGGTACACTTGTTACCATTACTGTTCAACTCAATTTAATAGTAATAATTTCAGAAACAGTACTGTACATTCTGAGAACTAAAATGAAAATTTGTGAGAAAAAGGTAATAACTGGAAAAATTTTGATATACATCATCTTCAACATTAGCATCGGGACCTGTTATCACATGAGTTGAATGAGTGGAGTCGTGTTTTATCACACCGCCCCAAATACCATGTCTAATCCTGATAGCATTTCCCCACATGATCAAGCTCTTGTTGGGAACACTAAGTATACTTGAATATGGATTGAAATTTCGAACCTTCTTTTCTGTTTCAAGCAGAGTAATCATTTTGCGCTTAAAAATAGTGGGTTGAGCAAGAAAACCCACTTCCCGTTCTCAGTTCACATGGCAGTTGGAGCAGGTAATTCATTTGACACACTGACATGAAAGAATATTAATTGGTAAGAAAATTATCGTTTTTACTATGAAATGCAATTGCTCTCTCTAAAATGGATATTTGATTACATTAAATACATATATACTTTGCTGGACTCTACTCTATCTAAAGTAAATAACATATTTATATATTACACTAGAAAACACTTTGATCTAAGTTTTTCACCATCATTAATCATTTTGTACTTCTATACTATGAAAACTAAATTAAAAATGCTTGTTATTGTCTAAACAAAGCAGTTGAGTTGTGAAAGACCGGCAGAATTTCCATTTAATAAAACTGGACTTGGATTTTATTAGTAATGAGAATTCACATGATTTATTTGTGCCATACATCTCATGGAAAAATTAGATAGCTTACATAAGTAGACTTTGTATATTAATTGCTTCCTAACACACTTTATACATTTACATAGCATATAAAACTGATTGTATGTGTAAACACCACATGAAAGGTAAGGTAATATATGTGAATCAACTTTTGCTGCATACGAAGCCAGGAAGATTTTGATGTGACAATAGTTTCAAACATAACTTTGTCACATTTTTGCTATTTATTGGTATCAGTATGTTAAAATGGATGTAGCTATTTATATCTCTAAACTCACTGATTAAATGGAAATAACTACAGTCAGACATATGAGGCGGAACACACAAAGACACACAAGTTCCTGACATTTGAAAGATAACAAGAGTGTGTACATGTATGTATATATTTGTGTGTATATGTGTGAGTGTAGGGGGAGGGGGGGGGGGGGGGGGGTGGAGAGCAATATTGAGAGAGATTTTTTTGTGTGTGTGTCTGTGAGTGTCAAGCATTGCATCTACAAGTAACACTCATGAAAAGTAATCCTCACATAAAAAAAAAGGCCCAGAAACGAACATATTTGGAGATAAAGAAAATTCAAGTTTTTCACACTGGTCTTAAGACAGAGCCACACTTCCTAAATATTCTCAATTCCTTATATAGAAACATGCAATATGGTGAAAATGTAATTCTAAAAAGAAATTGTTGGGAGCGAAGATAGAAAAATATTAATTCAGACTGAGAAATATCTATATTTACACACTAATAAATATATTCTCTCTGAAAATACACATGAGAATAACATGGGGGAATCATCAATGGGCAAATAAGCAGAGAAACTCTCACAATTTACATCAACAATTGTTTCTCTTTTTTTCCACAATTTGCTTTCATTGTTATTTACATATCAAATCAATCCATAAATATTAAAACACCGAAATAACAATAAATGCCTTGAACCCAAATCATGAGTTCTTATTCAGCTAGTCTCTACAAAGGTTTGGATTCTACATGAAAAAAAAAACAGAAAATCTACCAGTACTCAGGCACAAGAGATTCAATTAATCATCAGTATTCCTTTTTTGCAAGAACATTTTAAGCTAAAGATCTGAGTTAATACATTGGTTTTCAGATTTCACAGCCATGCAGTACAGCCCCAACAATACTAAATGCAGTATACGCAAATTATGGTACTACATGGGAGAGTAGGGGAAAAAACATCTACTAATTACAATAAATGCTCATTACTACAAGCTATGTATATTCAGAGTTCATCACATATGCATACAAATTTAGCAGTGAAATTTGGCCTTATTATACATGATTCCATTATGAAATTCGAAATTTCTGGCTTCAAATTACATAGCACACAATGCTGTAATGTAGGACCCAAGTTATGCAAATGTACATTATCATCTATCTGGTACATATTATGACATCTATTTTTTCTCAAAGGTAAAGAAATTTGGTCTGTTATGATCAAAAGTTGAGAATATTTTATTTGATTAACATTTTTTTTTAAGTGTTTATATTTTAAAGTAACTATGCTGTACTGTTTGAAAAGCTCACAATGCTTACTTCTATATCCAGGGGTTAAATAAAAATGGAAATACAGGTTCATTCTCACACAACTCCTTTTAGGTTGTTTTCATTACCTCACCTCAAAGTGTCTTGTTCATGATCATTACATGAGACAGAATGTAAAACTTCTACATGCAAGTTTAGAAGAAAAAAAAGTTATATTTAATGTTGCATGTCTCAGAGGAGTGAGCTTGGGAGAGTTATATTCTTCTGACATGTATACCCTTTTGAGAGAGAGGTGTGTGTGTGTGTGTGTGTGTGTGTGTGTGTGTGTGTGTGTGTGTGTGTGTGTGTGTGTGTGTGTGTGTGTGTGTGTGTGTGTGTGTGTGTGTGTGTGTGTGTGTGTGTGTGTGTGTGTGTGTGTGTGTGTTTTGTATCATATATCCCAGACAACAACAAATAGTTCCATTAATTTTGATATATGCTTTGGTTAATTCTCAGCCAATGACCTGAAAAAGGACACTGGCTTTGCTCTATCACCTCACATTTCAATGTCCATCAAACTCTTCTGTGTTTCCAAATACTGTACATCCTGACCTTATTTTTATTTGACAATATTTTTCTAATACAAATTTTATTACATTCTGGTCTCTCTTCCACTTGGGAAGTAAATGAAAATATACATTTTGAAGTAGAAAATTTAATAAATCATTCAATTTGATAGTTACTTTTGCATTCATACTAATCTACAAAGTAATTTCAACATCTGACAGACATACAAGCCCTGCTACCCACAATGTCCGAAACAAGAAAATATACCTCACATTAAGTGATGATATACAATCCTGGGAAACTACTGATTGTTGTATGGTACCAAGTTGTAATGCCATGCTTAATTCGTAACTGCTTGTAGGAAGAATCTTGTGTTATAAATGAAGTCTTCAGACTGTCACAGTTAACTTTACAATATTCAGGGGTTGATATAACATGTCTAGTTCAAGCCCCCATGTTCAATAGGAGTCCCTCAGGGAAATTTTCAGATAACATGAAGAAGTGGAGCAAAACTAATGGCATTCTAGAAAGCAGAAAGATTAACCATAATCAATTAAAATTGAAAAACAAAATGTGTTGAACATTGTTATATTATACTATATATGAGAAACAATTCTTTTTACAGGTTTGCTTAAACCTCTGGGAATCATGCAACACCTATGGAGTTTGAATGCACAGCAACAGAGTCTTTCATGTCAGAACATTTTGTTATGGGGATCATACAAATGCTTGATAAACAGAAAAAGAAAATATGAACCTTGGCCTTTTTTCATAGACTGCTTCTTTGGAAGATAAACTTAAATAAAGAATTTATGAACTACTTACGTGTAAAAACAGATATGATTCATTTTTTTGTGGGTTATGAGTACAAATAGTCATTGATTATACATTTATGAATGTGCTAAAAACTCTTTCTTATATGTTAGCTGTGTGAAAGTGTGTACATAATACATAATAATTGGCTGTGAAAGGTTACAGAATGTGTTTACCATTTTAGAAAACTATTATAGAAACTTGAAAAGATAATGCTCAAGCTTCTGCCATGTAAGACACCTTTCAAAATTCAATAGAAAAATCAAAATGTAAAAAAGGTCAAAATAAAAAAAATCAGACTTGTAAATTCTTTCTTTATGATAAAATAAAAGATACTATAAAATTCAACAATATACAGTATGTACTAAACACTAAGAAAAAGGAAAAATAGGTCATGACATGACTAGTCATCAATCTAAAACATTTCTGAATGATTTTTTTGTCTGATGAAACATAAAACACTGTCTACTGATAGTGTACATACTTGACACAAACATACATCTTGAGATTGCAAATACAAACTATCTTGTATTAAAAAAAAAAGAAATTGGTTAGCACTCTTAAACTTTACCCATTCTGAATCACTGACATCTTTTCAGTGAAATCAGTAAGAGAACCAGCATACAAGAATTTCACTTCAGTCAAGCTCCATTTAAGATACCTTCAGCTTGACAAGAGAGGTAATATTTTTGGCCTGCATTTTCCACAATGAGAACTCAGAAACTGAAAGGGATTCGTAAGGTAAATTGGCTGCTTTCCCAATATTCACTGGCAAGAAAAGATTAACATCCTGAAACAGCTTTTTTTGGCAACAAAACAATTTTCTTTTTAACAAAATATTAAAAATCTTAGAATCCTGTCCAGGCTTGTGTTATATAACCAGAATAAAATAATATAAAGATAATGTTAGAAACATGTTTCTATTTCTAATATAGCTTTATTCAGCTTCTTTAATCATTCAAGCTGATTAAATTCAACATGTACTGCTTCTGCTCACATATACTGTACAGTATATACAGTAGCTAAAACTAAAATCATATTAAGTCTTGAATATTAATTGACTTCA